AAAATTTTAAAAAATGTGCAAGTAAAACAGGTGTCCACAAAGTCCTTTAAGCTTGTTTAACACACAAAGCATCCGTTTTTTCTTAATTTAATTTTTATTTTTATCATATTTTTGAACTTGGTTTAAAAAAGCTGTCATTTTTATCTCGATTTTATTCCTAAATTATAAAAGTTTTATTTTTAAACATCTCTCAATTTATTTGAATTTTTTATGGAAATAGCAAAGATTCTCAGTTACCGTATTATTACCCTTGGTAATTATTGAGTCAAACTCTCACTAGAGGTGGTAATTAATCAAGTGTGGGTATTTATTCGAATTTTGAAATTTCAACTTATGTACAATAAGGGGCATTTGGGAAAGGGGGAGTAAGGGCAAAGTATGAGGCACTTGAGAGAATAATAAATTGAAAGGATGTATGTAGGTAATAATAGGATAACAAATACCTAATTGAGTGCCTCACTCCCTTTGAATGCCCCCTTTAATAGTGCCTCTTTTGAAGGTGATTGAAAAATAGAATGCCCGTGCATACCTAGAGATAACATATTTATTAAAAGTATGTACCTTGTTTCTTAACTACCCCTAAACCCAACATTTTTTAGGTTTGGAATGTAAAAACTATATTCTGGGAAGGCTTTCATTGGATTGCCACAATGCTACAACCAGTGCTGGGTATTTGCCATTTGTTGGCTCCGGCTCCGGGCTCCGGGGTTTGAAAATCTTGGCTCCGGCTCCGGGGTTTCAAAATCTTGGCTCCGGCTCCGGGCTCCGGCCTTTTAAAATCTTGGCTCCGGCTCCAGCTCCGGCTCCGGAGCCGGCGATTTTCGGAGCCGCTCCATGTTGGCTCTGGCTCCGGGTGGAAAATCAATGAATTATTTTTCATTGGGGGATTTGGGTAGATAAAGGGGGATATTGAGTGATATAAGAAGATTAAGAGGGTTATCAATGGATTAAGAGGGATTTGGATGGATTATCTTGTGCATTAAGGGCGATATCGGGGAATTAAGCTGGATTAAGGGGATTTGGGTTGTCGGGGAGTTGGGCAAATAGGAGATGGTGGATTTATCCTCTCATTATCTCTTGCTTTTTGCGCCGCATACGAAAATTTTGAGAATTTTGGAAGATCCTTAAGCCAAAAATCTTCCTTTTTTCGCCGCAGGCGAAAATTTTGAGAATTTTGAAAATCCTTAGGCCAAAAATCTTCCTTTTTTGCGCCGCAGGCAAAAATTTTTAAAAATTTGGAAGATCCTTAAGCCAAAAATCTTCCTTTTTTACGCCGCAGGCGAAAATTTTGAAAAATTTGACTCACAGGAGACTAAAATTAAAAAATTAATCCAGCTTTATTTATTTAAAAAATGCCTTTTATAATATATTTTCCAAAGAAAAACATTTATTTAATCATTTTTTGTAATATTTTTCGAACCTATAACTGGATAAAACTCGGAACTAAGTCACTTCCATTCAACCACAACTACTTTACAAAGGAAAGGAAAGAAAATCTTTTTTACCCGTCTCAATTTTCTCTTTTTTTTCTTTTCTCGCCTACCATCTTTGCTTACTTCTTTTTCTCTAACCCATCTTTAGGGGTGTATGTATAGCCGGAGCCGTGGGAAATTGGAAAACCTTGGCTCCGGCTCCGGGCTCCGGGGTTTGAAATTCTTGGCTCCGGCTCCAGCTCCAGGTTTTCAAAATCTTAGCTCCGGCTCCGCCGAAGCCGGCTCCGGAGCCGGCTCCGGCGGCTCCGGAAATAATTTTTACTTTTTTAAAAATTATTTAAGGCATCTTTGAAAATAATGTGATGTTGCAAAAAAATGTGATGTTGCTAAAATTCCCCAACTGATTCACTAAATTCCCCCCTGATTTTGCAAGCATCTTTTTTGTATCTTTAATGTTTTGAAAGAAAATTTTTATAAAAATAATATAAAACAAAAATAAATTTTAAAAACAAAATAAAAATTCCATATTTTGTCCTTTGAAAAAATGCAAAAAATTTTACCTTAACGTTAAAGGGCATCAATATCCGGTATATAATAAAAAGATTTGTCTAATTCTGTAAAGGGTACAATATTTATTGATTTAATATTCATATTAATTTTGTAAAAATTAATAAATAAAAATGTGATTAGCCATGCAAATTCCATTCTTGTGAATTATTGTGAGTGATTTTTGTGAAGATTTGGTAAATTGTGAACGATTTTGCCGGCATCTTTTTTTATATATTTTGTGACACCTAAATGTCAACAATGAGAAATTCTTTTAAATCTCCGCCATAAAACTTATTTGTATGTAGCAAGGTAAAAAGATAAATTCCGTTAATCAAAAGTTTAATTCCAAATTATTTCTAAATGCTTAATCTCCAGCAAAATATACTTATTCTTGATGCTTCAGCATCATTATTCTTGTGATAATGCACATTTGGTAGTTACTTTCCTCATTAGTTTATTCCTCGAATAAACTAAAGAAAACAATCCGGTCAGGGAAAATTCGGAATGAAATGATTGAAAAAATATAGCTGAACAAAATGGCTGTTACTAAACATGCCAAAGTTCTCTGTCAATCTGTTAAAATTGTTAAATGATTGCCTATTTCATTGAATAACGGGTACAATATTCATTGATTTGATTTTCTTAATATTTTTTAAAAAATAATAAAAAAATGTGCTACACAAACATCAGTTTTGTGAATTCTTGTGAAATTTTGAATGGTGTAAACGCCTTTGCCCGCCTACTTTATTTAACGTATTTAAGGTTTTCTTCTTTCTGAACATTTTATCGTTTTGTATTTTTATAGGGCAACACAAAAAATTTTTATTATTTAATGCCCTCCATTTAATTTTTTACTATTTTCAAGTTTTTATTTCCCATTTTATTTGCAGAAAAATTTTTTATTTTTATTTAATTTTATATATTTAAATTTTTCATAAAATAAAAATAGGTTTGAGAGGAGAAATTCTGTTTCTGATAGACAGAAGCCAGGCTTACATAAGAACAATTTCCAAATGAAAAATAATTTTATATTTTTTCAATTACTTTTTTTGATGCCATATATTAATTTTTACCTGTAAAAATAGAATTTTAATTTTATCTCTTCATTTAAATTTAGAAATTAAAAAGTCTTTATTTAGAGAAATGCCTTCGATTGGCAATAAAATTATTATTGCTTTCATCCTTTTGGAAATTGTTTCTGTATTCAATGTTTTGTCCAATAGGACAAGGCCTATCCCTGAGATGCAGGTTTTCTTATGAAACTTGCGGATCAAAAGTATATAACACAATAAATCTTTAGAAAACTATTATTTTAAATTTAGAAATCTATGTATTTTAGAAATCTATTTATTTAATTCCTTTAACGGACGATCCTTTAATGGGCGACCGTTTAATACTTTTTGCCCGTGACGATCCTTTAATTGTTTTTAGACGTTACGATCCTTTGAACGTTTTTAGCCGTGGCGATCCTTTTAATTACGATCCTTTGTAGGGAACCGCCCTAAAGGATACCTTTCTTTATTACATGTCTTTCATATTTTTTTGATTGTAATTTGTAACTCAAAAGTCAAAAATATCAAACTAATAACCGTTATACAACTTAAACTATGTTATGTATTTAGAAGCTCGTACGGTAATTCAACTAGTACCTTTGTTCGAAGTACGAGTAAGGCAGACCTGTGCATGTACACGGATATCACACGGACACACATGCATCTAATATCAAGGGCCTGCAGCAGATAGCTGTATATATCCGTACATATATCCGAATACGGATAACAAAATCAGTGTTCATGAAAGTCTGCCTACCAGTAAAAATATAAGGCCTGTAAGAATATAAGAGTACGAGCAATTTCAAAATTCTAAACACTTGTTATACAGAATTGTAAATTGCCTAGGCGTATGTTTTGTAATGTGTTATTTTAGTAATTCTTGCCTAAATTGACGAGCACAATAATAATGCTTACCTTAAATAGAAATACAATATATGTAGTCAAGGTTGATTGGGCTAGAATGACAAGCTCGTTCTTATTTTTATTTCATATACAGTTAAAATCTTTAAATTTTAGTCATTAAAAATGTCAAAATTATTCTTATTTTTTGCCTTTTTAATATTTATTCAACTTTTACCTTCAAGTTCAAGTGGTGGTGGACATGGCAGACGTGGTGGACATGGCAGATCAAGACGTGGTGGACATGGCAGATCTTCAATTTCAAGCGCTGCTGGATCTTCGAGTTCAGGAGGTGGTGCACTTGACATAGCTTCAAGTTCAAGCGCCGCTGGATCTTCAAATTCAGAAAATGTGAATGAACTCCAACGTATTCGTGAAGAACTGTTTCATGATTATAGCTCAACAACTTATGATGTATACGAAGAATATCTCAATTATGAACGCACTATGAAAGACTTTTCTCAACAAGACCATTTTCCTGAAAAGGTTAATTTTTTTGACGGTAGGATCCCTAATAGGTATTTGCAAAAAATTCTATAAGTGAAAGAATTTTGATTCTTGTTACAACTTTTGACATTACAAAGAACGCTTGATTAATAATTTTAAGGGCTTTATTTAATTATAGTATGTGAATCTTCTAGACGAATTCTTACAAAACGAAATAACAGTGAAAAACCAGCGAAAGTTAGCGATAGATCAAATGATTAATAATAAGACAGCAGCTGCAAGAATAATTTACTTTTGTAAAGCGTATCAACAAAGGCTTATTGATGAAATTAGAACTAATGTTATAGTAAGTTTAGTTTAGTTGAGTGGGTTAATCATTCTAAAACTCTAAGTATCGCGCTGGATTTGGTATTGGGCATTTTGTGGATACAGCTTTAATATTTTCGAACCTTAGTCACAGTTCAGATGTTTTAAATTTCGGATCTCGATGCAGTGATTTCGAAGCCGCTTTATGTTTACTCCGGCTTGGTTCTAGGAAGTAGAAATTTTTTGGAGAATAGAAAATGATATTTCCTAATATTTTTGAATTTTTAAACATTTAATCTCGTTACAGAATAAAATGCTGAAGATCGTATATAATGAAGCTATTACAAAAGGAGAAACAGAATGTCCAATATGTCAGCAAGAGTATAAAGAAGGTGAACAACTTGAAATAACGGAATGTGGACACTTTTACCATCAGGATTGTATAATGCGTTGGTTTACAATGGAGGGAGGTAGAAATCATGGCACATGTCCAACATGTCGTAGTGTACTGAAAATATCCGTGCATCCAGAGATTGCTGAGATAAATAAAAAATTAGAGAAAGTTGGACTCGGTTTTAAAACGAAAAAATTTCGCAGAAATGATTAGTTATAAATATTCAATTATTTATTTTTCATTTCAATATTTCTATCACAGATTTTCTTTACGTATAAGCCCAAAATTTCAAAAAATCCAAAAATATTAAAATTCCCCAAAAAATGAATTAAAAACTCCTAAAAATTAAAAAAATTAAAAACCAAAAAAAACAAACAAAATTTTGCCCAAAAATCATAAAAAGAAAAAATTCACAAAAAATTTTTAAAAAATCCAAAAATTTCCCAAAAACAATTTATTTAATTCTATATATTTAAAATCTATTTTTCTTTCTTATTTTCATTCTATCGTAAATTTTAAATATTTAATCTTTTGTATAAAATATTTCGGGAATTGTTTTGTATAATATTTGAATTTTAATATTAAAAAAATTTTTTTTTGCAAATTCTTAAAAATGTGGTCAATCAATAATAGGTCAATCAATAATAGGAAGTAACATTTTATAAAACAGCCTTAACCTTGTATTATATTTTGATACATTAATGGTCCTATTTCAAATTTTAGTTTTATTAATATTAAGGAGTAACAACTTAGAAAATTTGATTAAATCATTGTTTACTTGATTATATGTAATTAGGGATGGGATTTATATGTATTTCCTTATTTTTTTCCTGGCCTAATTTAGTCGTGAAACGCACAAAAAACATAATTGTAGAATATGTTGTTAAGGCCGATAAGTAGTTATCAATTAGAGCCCGGCTCGATACGATATTTTTTCGATATTTTTCGATATTTGGGTTCGATATTTATCGAAAAATATCGACCGAGAAAATTTTGAGTTTTTCGATATTTTTCGATATTTACCGAAAAATATCGATCGAAAGATTTTAAATATCGAGAATATCGACCGACCAAATAAAAATTATCGAAAAAATATCGAACGTCATTTTTGACTAAAATTTGAATTTTTGGCGTCAAAAAGGATGAATTTTAGCTTCCTGACCATCATAAATTCTAAAAATTTTCGCCTGCGGCGCTGAAAATGCAAGAATTTTGCAACTTGACCTTCCGAGATTCTCATAAGATTGTTAGAATATCCTTTCTTATCCCCTTAATCCATCATATTCCCTCGATATCCCTACAAAACACTGATATGAATTAAGAAAGATTTCGGTAGATAAGGGAGATTTCTGACGATTAAGAAGAATTTATTGGATATCCGAAGGTTTGTTGGGATATTTGAGATATCCAATGAGTATGACGGATATAGTGGATATCCGGGGTAATCAACTATTTGTAGAAATAATAGAGGATTAACTGGATAAATGGATCTCGAGCGATCAAGATGGATATTTGGGAGAGATGGATATCAAAACGCATATCAAATTCCAAGATTTTTTATCCCCCGATATCCCCCTTAATCCACAAATCCCTTGATATCCCTCCTGATCTCACAAATCCACAATATCCGTCTTACTACCTCTAAATCTCTTGTTACACACTCAGTCTTCCAATATCCCCCTTAATTCCTTAAAATCCATTATCCCTCGCTAGAATCCGCTTATATCTCACTTGATCCTTCAATATCAAATACAAGCCCTTGATATTCAATTTAATCCGTCCAATCCACCAATATCCCATTTAATCAATCTTAACCTCCTTAAACTACTTGGTCTATTCTGTTATTCATTGGTTACAAAAATTTTTTGAAAAATCGAAAAATATCGAGACTTTTATTTCGATATTTTTCGGTTTCGATATTTTTCGATATTTATCGAAAAATATCGACCGAGAAAATTTTGACTTTTTCGGTATTTTTCGATATTCGATATTTTTCGATATCTATCGAAAAATATCGACCGACCCCTCCAGCCGGGCTTTAGTATTATCATAATTTGGTTGTTTACTATTATTTTTTAATAAAAGATAAACAAAATCATTTTAAAAATATGAGATTTTAAAATGAGAAATTAATTATGAGGATATAAATTTAGCAAAAAAATAGTAATTTTAATTTAAAAAAAGACAACATTCTTACAAAAAAATTAAAGAAATTCAGCATACAAGAGTTTAATAAGTTATTTAGTTAAGATAAAAGCAAAATCAATATAAAGCAGGAATAAATAAAATCAAAAAGTATGAAAAAAATCTAGCATTTTAAACTTTTTTTAATTTATAAACATGTCAAAAAATTTAGTGTAAATGTACTGGAGTATGGAGGGTGTAAAATATATTTGGCCCATGCCACTTAGTAATAACCACTGGGTCATGTCTATTGCCTTTATGGGTTAAAAATTAAAGGATAAACTGCAAAATTATAAATTGATATTTAGTATGATTAATTTAAATTTAATATAAAATAAAAAAGAAGTGGAGCATGCGAATCTATCTAAAAAGAATTTATTTTAACATTCATGTTTTATTGACATTCGTCTTATTATATAGTAGAATAATGTCGTATAATGAATATGTAAAAATATTACTTTTAAACAAAAACGAAAATTTTTATAATGTAAAATATAGATATTTGCTACTTCTGTTTGGTCTCCAAGACCATCAAAAAAATCTGTCGTATCATGATGTTGATAAATATATTAGAAAAAGTAATTTTAAACATAAACGGACATAATTTTATTAATAAATTTCAACTAAATAGAAGTGTCAAAAAGAAAAATTTGAAAATGTTTAAAAAGCAAAATAATAGAAAATAGTAAATGATAGAGTCTAAAAGATAATTTATAAAGAAATTTCTCACCAGAAAAGATCGAAATTGTAAAGTTGGAATTTCTGGCCCTATCCCGAAAGAAGGGTCGAATCGTTTTTTTCATTACTTTTTATTACTCTATAAAAATGGTCAATTTTCCTTAAAGTTGATGTATGTTGATGTTTGCTTTAAGGAAAAATGGTCCGTGTTCGTCCGTCTTCGTCCGTGTTCGTCCGTCTTCGTCTGCGCTCGTCCGTGTTCGGCTGTGTTCGTCCGTGCTCGTCCGTGTTCGTCCGTCTTCGTCCGTGCTCGTCCGTGTTCGGCCGTGCTCGTCCGTGTTCGGCCGTGCTCGTCCGTGTTCGGCTGTGTTCGTCCGTGCCCGTCCGTGTTCGTCCGTCTTCGTCCGTGTTCGGCCGTGCTCGTCCGTGTTCGGCTGTGTTCGTCCGTGCTCGTCCGTGTTCGTCCGTCTTCGTCCGTGCTCGTCCGTGTTCGGCCGTGCTCGTCCGTGTTCGGCTGTGTTCGTCCGTGCTCGTCCGTGTTCGTCCGTCTTCGTCCGTGTTCGGCCGTGCTCGTCCGTCTTCGGCTGTGTTCGTCCGTGCTCGTCCGTGTTCGTCCTCTTCGTCCGTGCTCGTCCGTGTTCGGCCGTGCTCGTCCGTCTTCGTCCGTGTTCGGCCGTGCTCGTCCGTGTTCGTCCGTGCTCGACCGTGTTCGTCCGTGTTCGGCCGTGCTCGTCCGTGTTCGTCCGTCTTCGTCCGTCTTCGTCCGTGCTCGTCCGTGTTCGGCCGTGTAAATGATAATACAAAAAAAACAAAAAAAAGTTAATTTCTTTCACCATTTTTCCTTAAGGCAAACATCAACATACATCAACTTTAAGGAAAATTGACCATTTTTATGAAGTAATAAAAAGTAATGAAAAAAACGATTCGACCCTTCTTTGGGGATAGGGTCGAATTTCTTTATAGAAATTTTGTCTCTGGTCATCAATAACAGACTATTCTGTATTTTGCTTTTTAAACATTTTCAAATTTTTCTTTTTGACACAGCTATTTAGTTGAAATTTATTAATAAAATTATGTCCGTTTATGTTTAAAATTACTTTTTTGAAATCATTAATATTGCACACAGAAAATGGACGTTTCTTGTTTTTACATTGGTCTTAGTACATTTTATTTTTTGAACTTAATTTCTTAAACAAGATAATTACTATTAATTTATGTGTATTTAAATTCAACCAGTTTTTAGGAAGGATTATAAAGAAAATTTTTCAGCCACATTCTTATCGCTATTTTCTTTAGGATCCTCTTCAAATTTAGGAAACGGAAGCTTGTCTGCCATAACAAACTCATTGTATTTTTGCAAATTTTCCTGTAAAAAATCTAAATAAACAAAAAATTTTACATTAAATTACTCTTAATGATTTTTCAAATAGTGATTGTAATATTCAATAGATCTGTTTCCCATTCTTCATCTTCATCTATATCATCACATCATCCATCACAGACTTGCCATCAGCAAAGTCCATCACCATTACATAATGATAAATTAAGAAAATAACTTGAACTTGTTGGAATTGGTGGTTGAATATATTTGAAGTCTTAAAACCTTAATAAAAATTGATTTAAAATTTATTATATGATTTCCTTAAAAATATCAACGAAAATAATTTTGCACTAGGTGTTTACATACTTTTGCTCATGAATGTATATCATGAAAACCAATTAAAAATTTACATTAAAATCTAAACTTATGACTGGTGTCGAATTTTTTAAAATATAATCGCAAAAATGGCCATAAAATGTTGAAATAATTTGGCAAAATAATGACAAAAAAGTCCGAAATTTTGTGAAATATTGAAATAAATTATGGTTTATTCACTAGCAAAAAAAATTTTTAATCAAAATTGCATATTAAGTTTATACTTCGAAAAAATGGGTATTTTTACTCTGTCGGGCATTTTTTGATAAGCCGAATTAAGACCGAACCAGTGGAACATTTTGTGGGCTGATTTTTAAGAAATAGTATAATTTTCCCCTCGAAATGGGGGAAATTGAAAAAATTTGGCAGGGAATGGTCAATAAAGTGAATTTTTTCGCATACAGTATCTAAAATTTTCAAAATTTTCTTTTGCGGCTTGTATATAGGAAAACTAAATCAATTTAAGCAAATGGAGGGAGAGATATAGAATATATTAGAGATGTCCAAGACCAAAAATTTTCCAAGACTCGAGACCAAGACTACACACCAAGACCCACGACAAAGACTTGGCCCCAAGACTCAAGACCAAAAACTAATAAGACTAGAGACAATTGTTTGGTCTCATAGGTTACTCTAAGTAATTTAGGATAGGGTC